GGTTTGTGGGGGTGTCGGTGGAGTGGGCGGGGTGGTGTAGTGGATAAGGTGGGGGGGGAGTGGCCGGCTGGGCCCTGGTGGTGGCCCAGTTGGCCTGTGGTCAGCTGGGCCGAAGCCTAGGGGGTTTCCTTTTTTTTTGTATTGTTTTCTGTTTTCTTTTTATTTATTTTCTTTTATGTTTTTTAATTATCTATAAACACTTAGGCATTCAATAAAAATTTGTTTGTTGCATCATAATTACCCTTGTAATATTCGACAACCACCGAACAATTTTATTTTAAATTTTAAAATTTTTTATTGTTTTCATCAATTTGAATTTTGAATTTGAACGGTTTCGAATTACTGCGAGGATAGCAACAGTAATCGGGATGACGTGCCATGATTAGCATGGGATTACTGTAGCAAGATTATCCGGGCGTTACACTCTCTCTTCATTTTCACCAATCACATGCAAGTGACCGGATATATGAGGAAGAAAATGAGGATTGTGGCTGCGCGAACGGACAAATAGGGGCTCAAAATATACATGCCCGGTCACTGACTGAGCGCAACCATGGGCGTTTGAGGGGTCGAATTAATGGTATGTGGTTGTAGATGCTCTAAGAGCGTGGGAGGAGGCAACGTCGAGAGCATCTATTGGATCACAGACGGCTCGGCAACGGCGGCTCTCTTCTCCTACCTCTCCTCTCTGTAATATCCCCAATTCATCTGTAATCCAATCTCTGTACCAAATCATGAGTGTGTGAGAACTATAATCTAGGCAAGAGATATCTGGTACCTTACATCTGGTATTCAGAGCCAGGCCACCACCCATTTTTTCTTCGGCGGCTAATTCATCTATTCCATTGGCGATGACACATGCCCGTTGTCTTACCACCAGAGGGATGCCATGTCTGCCAAGGAGCTGTTTTGTGGTATCTCGAGAGATTATGCGCTAAGGTGGAGGAGATGAGCTCAGTGTTGGGTATTACACGCATGGGTGACCCTCCCGTGGTTAACTCGCTTGTCGATCCGGCAGCCTCAACCACAACGCACGCCTCATCCACGACCATCCCCGACGTCTCCTGCTCCAACACCAAAGCTAGGAAGTGCTCGAGGTTATCCACGACACGCCCCCTGCCTGCATCGCGAGGGCGCACATCACCTGTTCGAATCAAGTTGTCGCCACCAACAACCTCATTAACAAATCTCTGTATCGTGCCCCATTGGAATTACTTGATCTTCGACAGCTCGACTATGCGCCTCCGATTATTCTAAAGTTACATCTATATTTTGTTGCCGAAAGTTACAACATCAGAAATGGTGTGGCACTGAATGTCTAGCCAAATAAACGCACTTGTAGTACAAGTACAAGAAAGTAAATCAAGAAGGTGAAACACGAAAAGGAAATTAAGCGTGATATTTCAGGATCTGAATCAAGAGCAAAGTACTTCGGCAGGGACAACTAAGTAGCAACCTGGGGCGCCGTGGGCATCTTCATAGGCGGCCACGGCAGCTCATACGCGTACTCCGCGGCGTGGCGCTTGTCCTGGAGAGCGGCGTACTCCGTGTCCGGCAAGACGGAAGAGGAGAACTCAGCGGCGTCCTTGTCCAGAGCAAGAACGAGCTGGTCTCCGCGGACCCTCCAGTAGGCGGACCCGCCGGTGTTGCCTGCGAAGTAGATGCGGTTGATCCCTTTGCTCCCCCAGAACTCGTGGCCGCAGAGCGCCGTACTCCTACGCGCCGCACCGGAGGTCCAGCGGCCGCCGGAGGCGGACGAGAATGCGCAGGCCCTGGCTATGCCGTATCCGTGGCGATAGAGCGCGCACGTCACCCTGAAGTTCGACAGGCTGATGCACGCGCCTGCGGCCTCGGCGGCTTCGCCGTCGAGGAGGAAGGCACCCAGGAAGTCGCAGCCGTGGAACCACGCCGAGGGAGGGATCAGCCAGTAGCGCCGCGTCAGGGGATCGCAGATGACGAGGCGTGACGGTGGGGCCGCGTCGAAGAGGAGGAGGTGTGACGGCGGCGCCGCGTCGAGGAGGAGGAGGAGGCCGCTCCGGCAGTCGGCAAGCTCCCAGCAGCCGCCGTTGCCGGGCTGCGGGAGGAAGTCGAGCGCCAAGCTCTGCCCGGCAACGGCGTCCGGCCACGGCGAGGAGGATGGGACGAAGACGGGGTTACATCCCGGCGAACGCGCGAAGCGGTAGCAGCGCTCGTCGACACGGTAGTGGCCGAGAATGTGGGCGGACGACGCGCCGTGGAGCGAGCGGAACCGGCGGAGGAAGGACCCGCCCTCCGCCGCGATTACGCGGGGCCAGCGCCTGCAGGTGCACGCGGCGCGGACGAGATGGAGAGGCGAAGGCAGGCGCAGGAACACCTGCTCGAGAAGGCCGTTCGGGACGACGTCATTTGCGAACGCCGGCGCGCCGTCCCTCCGGGTGTACTTTCGGCGGCGGCTGCCCCAATGGTGGCCCGGAACGTGGGTGACCCAATCGCCCAACGGAAATTATCAGTCAAATCTTATGTAGCAAGCAAAAGGAAGGGAATGGTTATCACATTTAACTGATTTGTAGCGGTGGATCCATGCGATGCGCGGCACGTCCCGGGATCGGCGGCGATGTCACCGGCACGCTTTGATCGCCTCGCGTTCATAAATCCCAACAAAATCACGTTTGATTAGCGAAACAAAATCAAGCATTTGGAAGGGAATGACTATGCATCAGTCGACTGAATCGTTTTCATGGCCAGTCGATTCTATCTGAACCGTTGGACCTTGATCCAACGGATTTGCAGTCATCTCCCACCTCAAACCCGACGCACTGGCCGCCCTCCGGCCTAGGCCGAACCGCCAGCCTCCGCCGCCCCGCCCTTCCCTTGACCTCCCCCCACCGCCAGGCTTGCCGCCGCCCCCGCCATCCCTCTAGCCCCGCTCCCATCTAGTTTTCTTCTCCGGCGAAGCCACACCACCGCCCTCACCCTAAACCCTACGATAGATAATGGGATAATGATGACGAGACCCTTCCTTCTCTCCAGCAAGGCCATTCCTTCTCCTTCCTTCACTCAAAATCGACTGCCCAAAACTAAAAAGTAAGCTGACTGAAATGTACTCCCTCCGTTCCTAAATGTAATCTTTGTAGAGATTTCACTATAGACCCCATACAGATGTATGTAGATGCATTTTAGAGTGCAGACTCACTTATTTTGCTTCGTATGTAGACCATAGTGAAATCTCTATTATATTTAGGAACAGGGGAGTAGTTGATATGTATTTGGAATATGGATTTGTTCTCATCTAGATGAGAAAAAAAGTATGTCACATTTAAGTAGTTTACTACACGATCAAGAGCCTGAAAATTTTGTGCAAACTGTTTGATCGCCCCCGCTGATTGTGCGGGTTGCTTGTGGGCTGTTTTTCCTCAGCCTATTTGTTTTTGTTTGTATGTCTGGGCAGTGGCGGAGCTTGGCCCAGAAATCTGGGCGGGCCGGCTGTAGGAAATTACTCTAGGGGTTATGTTTCATTGGCCAAAAATACGTACATACTGCAGGAAAATCATATGGGCTGGGCGGGCCCCGGCCAATTCGGCCTTGCCGTAGCTCCGCCACTGTGTCTGGGCCTATGCATTAGTCTGCACTAAGTAGAGTGGCTTTTTTGGGGTTGTTTTTTCAAGCGGGCTGGAGGTAGAATGCTAGAAATCCTACCAGAAATAGTACAAAGAAATCCTTCAATTTCCTATAGAGTTTAATTCTATGAATCAAATAACCAACATAAAAAAAATCTTAAGCACTCTCATTCTCCAAAAATCCTATGAACCTCGTTTCAATCAAAGGAGTCCATAGTTTTCTTTTTCTTTTTAACATAGTACGGACGCAGACACTCATATACTTATCCCTATGAACATACACATGCACATTCTACCCCTGGGAGCACTTTCGAGAGACTGAGCTGGCACATCATCTTAAGATTAATGAAGTTGTCACATACGTTTTCATAGTCGACGGGAACGTCTTTTTCCATTGAACACACATCGTAAGAAGATCTAAAATAATTACAAAAAATTATGAGCACCAAAGTCTAGAACTTAAACTCTGATGGGTTGGGGATACCACCTCCTGTTAACCATCCAACTACAGGTTATTCCGTGAGTCTGTAGCTGTTGGAGTGGTCATTTTCGCGCGCCTGGTCGCGATGTAATGTAACCCGGCTAATTACTTAGGTTCTCAATCAATGTGATCTCGTTCGCTTCTCGCCTTCTCAGCGACACACAGACAGTTGGTTCCAGGAATGCTGCTGCCCTGCCTGTTCCAGGAGCGAGACATCACGACAAATTGAGCGGTACGTATAGTTCAACATTTGCATCTTTAATTTATTTCTGTTCAACGACACAAAAATCACATTTCTCGTGGGAAAATTTATCTTTCGTCACGAGAGAGGACTCCATAGTCCTCTGCTTCGTAAGACCGATGTACTACCACTACGCTTCATCTGCAGCAACGCCGCCGTACGTCGTTCCTCCGTGTGTTTGCTCCCCGGCAGCGGCGGCGGGGGGATAGGCTAGTAGACGGCGTGGCGGCACATGGGGCAGTGGGGCTTCCACAGGAGCCAGCTGTCGATGCACGCCAGGTGGAACACGTGGCCGCACGCCGGCAGCCTCCTGGCGCTCTCGCCGGCCTGGAACTCCTGAGCAGGACAAGAACATTAGCTCGTCAGTTAAATTGTTGCGCTGTGCTCACGGACGAACAGAGAGGCGGGTGTGCTTGAGTGCTGACATGGAGGCAGATGGGGCAGGTGGTGTGCTGCCCCGCGGCCGCGGTCTCCTTGGTGAGCACCGTCGCCGGGAGGCTCTCGATGGCGGCCCTCCGCGCGGCCGTCACCGGGCCGGAGCTCGGCTCGAACAGGTCGCCTCCGGAGGAGTGGTGCTGCTACAGCGCCTCGATCTGGCTGTCCAGCGCGCCGCTTATGGCCGGGAACACCGAGCCGCGCAGGAGGCACCAGCCGCTGCAAAATGAACTCCAAAAATTAATTGTCAATCTTGGTCAATGGCGATCGAATCTCCAACTTGGCGGCTTGCGAAGCGTACCGTGCGTTTGATGCGCCCGTCCATGGAGCAGTCGCCGCAGGTCCATATCCTGAGGAGGGAGTCGGCGAGCTCCACGGAGACGAGGGCCCCGGTGACCGCCCCGACGACCACGCCCTGCACCAGGCCGTCCTGGTTGACGAAGCCCCACAGGAGGCCGAGCATGCCACCGATCACCGTACCGGCTGCACACAATGCACCTCGGTTAATCAATCGCCATAAGATCGTTTAATTATGCCGCAAAAATAAGACAGAGAAGAATGTAACATCATGTGCGGCCGCACGTACCTGCGCCGAAGGCGGCGGCGACGAGCGAGCGCGCCAGCCCGCCGGGTGCTCTGGTAGCCGCGTCGAGCATGTTGCTGCTACGTTCACGTACGAAGGACCAGAGCCTAAAGAGTTTGTGACGGACGTATTGCGATGGTCGTCGATGGAGATCGAGCACGCACGTGCGTACGTCCGTAGCTATCGACACGGAGGCGGAATGGAGGAGCAGCCAGCGGACGCGTGCACCTATATATGAGGAGGGCCTGTGGCGTGCAGTAACACGCGGCAGAGGAATGTCGTTGCTCCGGGCGCTCCCCGTCGACGTCGAGGGCGGGCGAGGCGGCCCCAAGCAAGCACGGATGGAGTTAAGAGGGCGTCTGATCTGAGGGTACTGAAGCAAGCAAGCGCGACGGCACAGGGAGGGCACCGGGCGGACGACGAGTACAGGAGAGGAGAGAACCTCTCCCAGTCGCTGGGGGTTGGGGGCGTTGGTTGCGCTTTGCCCCGCCCGGCCGGGACCGGGACCGCGCCGCATGCATGCACGGATGGGATTTGCTTTGCCGATTAGTATACGTCGACTAGAGTGTGACGATGCACAGAGAATCAATGAAGCAGTTGATGCGCGCGACCTGTGCTCTCAGCCTCTCATGTACTACCTTGCACCCAACTGTGTACGTCCAAGTTCGAGTTTGAGCGATCGCCGGCCAGACGACAGCAACTTGTCGCCGCCCCGGCCGCTCCGCGTCTACGTCGGGGCCGGCGAGGCGAGCGGTTCCTATGTACGGATGGAGCTTGGAGGAGGAGGCCATCAGCAGCCGGACTTATTTGGCCCCTCAAACGCCCGTAGACGCGCCCGGTCAGTGTCCCGCGCGTGTTTACTTTGATTCCCTTTTTTTCGTTCACACAGTCTTGTCCTTACTTTTTCTTTATATATGTCTGGTCACATGCATGTGATTGGTGGACAAGAAGAAAGAGAAAGAAAAGAACTAATAAAGAAAGAAGAAGATGCTCTATGGGGTGTCTAATCCTATGTAACAGATGCAGGACCGCTGACCGGGCACGCCCATGCACTCCTCATACTCATTCCATATATGAGATGAATATGAGGGCTGCCGACAGCCCTACCATTTAAGAAGGCTTTGAGGGGTCCGGTTGATCAACTTTTTACTCCTTTTTCCTTCTCTCTCATGTCCGGTCAGTGGCCCCCGCACCCGCCCGGTCAATTTGAGGAGTCCGACTGTAGATGCTCTCAAGCATCAGCTAAGGTAGGCAGGTGCTCTTTGTTCTAATAGAAAATTTTGGGTCCAATGCTCATTAATGGGATTTTTTTTCAAAAATGTTATCTTTTTTATAACAAATTACAATAATATGTGACCTAGTTCATAAATTACAATTATATGACCCTGTCGGCCTTGTGTAGACCAAAAAGGGACACTTCAATCTCGCTTAGGCCAAAGAGCCCCTTTTGGTTATCTTTGGGCCGAAGACGGGACGACCTGAGCCAAAGAGCAGTCTTCGGTTTGCAGTGGGCCGAAAATAGGTCTTCGAACTCCTGAAGGCCGAAGAGTGCATCCCCCGAGAGCAACTAGTTAATGAGCGCTCCTTCGGAGCGCTCGTAACGAGCGGTACGGGAGCGCTCCGCGCGTGACAAGTGTCGCGCATGGAGCGCTCCCGCCAGGGAAAACCAGGTGGCGCGGTTGGTTTCTGGTTTTTCCTTTCCGGTTTGTGGTTTTGTGCGTTTTGCATTTTGACCCTCATACTACCATATTTTTCCGTTTTCCCTTTCCGGGTGAAAACATAAAAAAAATACCAGTTCGCGCGCTTGGTTTCCTGTTTCCCTTTCTTGTTTCCCTTTCTGTTTCCATTATATTTCCGGGTAATGGAGATTTATGGGGTAGTTACGGGCGGGGACTACCAACACTATCAAATGTGACCTTTCAAGTAAGAAAAAAAAACAACTTTTTAATGTAAAACGGCAGTCTTTAGAATTGTTCAATCGTGTGACTTCTTTATAGGCACAGGTGAACACTAGGAGAGGCACGGGTGTATAACTTTACTAAATTGAAGAAAAGCGCCTCCGGCGCGAGGGAACCTCCTGCTCGCCTTCGGCTCGTTTAATTTTCATAAACATCTTGAAGGGGAGGGGCATAGGTCGAAGTGTGTGTTGGTCGTGCAGCATGCTGGTTCGTGCAGCGCGTTGTCCCTCGCGGTGTGACACGGCGCCTCCGGCACGAGGGAACCTCCTGCTCGCCTTCGGCTCGTTTAATTTTCATAAACATCTTGAAGGGCATGCATAGGTCGAAGTGTGTGTTGGTCATGCAGCATGCTGGTTCATGCTGCGCGTTGTCCCTCG